GAGCCGCGGCTTCCCTGAGCGGGAGCCCAGAGACAGGAGAGCCCCAGAAGGGCAAAGCGGGGAGCCCGAGAGGGGGGGACCCCTGGGATTGCCGGGACCCCGGCGGGGGGTGCTGGGGCTGGAGGGGCGGCATGGCCGGGAAGGGGGTTCGGGGGTGCGGGAGCCGGGAGTGGCTGCTCCCAGTATGAGCCCAGTTGCTCCCAATTTGATCCCAGTTACTCCCAATCGTTCCCTATTATGATGTAATTTCCTCCCAGCGCGGTCCCAGTTGCTCCCACGGTAACCGAAACTGTGGGAAAATAAAAAACTGCTAAGAATTGTTTTAAATTTAAAGAGTCAAGCCGTTACTTTATTTTCTCGCCTGAATATACCACAGAAATCATCTCATCCACACATATCCTGGCTGTGCAGAGAGAATCATCCCATGACACTCCGTTTTTAGTAGATTTTTCAGATTCTTTATACAGTCAATACTTATAGAAAAGAATTAAGTCAGTGTTCTTTGGTCTCAAGTTGCAAATACTCAGTTCCTAATATTTGGTGTTCTTTTGGGTCGGAATTTCTTCCCTTCTGATGTTAATTACATTTCGATTCCCTGATTTTCTTATCAGTCTTTTCAGAGGAGATGTCTGCAATTCTGCCAGAGGCAGAGTCTGGGGTAGATGTTCTTCGGTGGCCACTGATGTTCTGTTAATGGCCGCTGATGGCCCTTGATCTTTAAGCTGCTCCCAGTCTGTTGATGTGTTGAGTTCATCAGACCCTACCTGATACAGCAATGCTCTGGAAAGAAACCTAAATCTCTTTTTCCAGGGCAAAGGCAAATGAATCCCCTCAATTAAAGTTATACAAAAATTTTTAAAAGGGATATGTCTTCCAACACCACTTCGATCCAGTGAGTTCCCAGTTCTCCCAGCTCCCCCGTTCCCACTCACTCCCCATTAGATTCCAGTCACCACCCCTATGGTCTCAGACACTTCCAGTATATCCCAGTTACCCTGTGCAATCTTGTAATCATTCCCAGGCACTCCCAGTTACCTCTGTGTAGTTCACTTGCCCCCAATGTGATCCCAGGTGTACCCAGTTGCTGCTAGAATAGTCCCAGTGGCTCTCAGAATGGTTTCCTTTTTTTTGGGTGAGGTGGAGGAAATTTGGAGAATGCAGAGCTCCAAATCTGATCAGAAAATACCTCATGTGGGGACACTGGGGAGTCCCGGTGGCAGCTGCCAGAAGAGGCAGCCTGGAGGAGCAGAGCCCTGTGTCCCCCAGAACCCCAAAATGGGGAGCCCAAAGAGTGGTGGGAGCGCCACGATTTTGGGACCCTCAACAGCCTGGAGAGGGGCAAGGAGGACTCCTTGGACCCCCTGCACCCCAAAGCGGAGAATAAAGGGAGAAGGGACCCCAAAAACCCCAGCATCCCTAAATGGGGAAATGGAAGAGGGGGGAGCTTTTTGGATTCCTGGGACTCCCAGCAGCCTGGGGAGGGCGGGGACCGAGTAGATGGGGGACCCCCAATACAAGCGTGACCCCAGCAGCTGGGACTGGGGGGAACCCCCAAACACCAAAGGGGAGGGACCATTCCCAGGGACTCCTGGGAGGCATTTTCAGGGCTGAATGTTGGTGTTTGGGAGGTTTTTATGGACCCCAGATGCTCGGGGACTTCTAGAGATGGACTTGGGTGGCAGGAACCCGGAACACAACG